GGGCTGGGGGAGCCAGCAGGAGATGGGGATGGGCAGGGATCCTCCATGGTCCCCTCCCACCTCCTCCAGCCCCTCTGCCCCCTACTTACTGGCACACAGTCTGGGTCCAGCTCCCTGTGGCAGCAATCAGGGACTGCCTGAATCTCCGAATTGATTCAGAGACTTCTAAATCAATTCAGAGGCTTCCAATTTGATTCAGACCTTTTAGTGGGTCTCCCAATTAGATTTGGATTCAGAGATTCAGCCCCCAAATTGGGCCAAATCTTCTCCATATCAAATTGGTTACTGAAGCTTCATGCAGCCCTAGTGTTCACATAGTTTCTCCCAGAACAAAAATGGTGGTTCTGGGAGAAAAATAACCCATCTCTAACCTGGTAGAAGTAACTCTAGGAATGTCTCTTCTAGGAAAATGAAGTACTGTACACTTCCCCACCACTTGACTCCTCCTGGGCACCAGGAGGAATTGAATAGCAGGGAATGATCCCCCACATCTTCTGAGACTAGAGTCACCCCAGACCAGGGGAGGAAGCAGGTGCAGCTGCTATGTCCCTCCTCCTGAAGGCACAGAACTCAGCTCCTCTTGCCCTTCACATGACCGGGAAAGGGAGATTCAGCTGCTGTTTACTGTCCACCTGCCCCTCACATTAGGGACTCTGGTGTGAGGAGCAGGTGGGGGCTTTGCCATGTTGCTCTCCATGCTTTCCCCAGACCAGAAGCAGCTTGGGCTGAGGAAGGCATGAGAAGTAAGGGATGGGGTGAAGTTGCAGCTTGAATGCCTGTATTGCTCCCTCTCCTGGAAACATTTCTAGCAGTGGAAAAGTTACACTGCTAGAAATTAACATATGCTCATTGTTAGGGTGACAATATTTGGATCTTGGGGAGCGCTGATTTGCAGCTGAATAAAAGGCAAGACCTGCGGCCTGGGGAAGCTGCTGACCACAAGGCAGAATGATAGCTAAGCCAGCAATTTGCTTATGCTAAGTAGCCATCTTAACTGTATTAACTGTTTTTTTCTGAAAAAGCAGCAAGTAAGTCTGTGTGAGTCTGTGTGCTGTGAATGAAGTGAAGCTTTAGGAATGTGGAAGATGGTACAACCTGAGACAAAAAAACAGACTGGAATGTGAAAAAACAACACGTAATTGGTAACAGAATCCTAGATGAACATATGCAAAAAGTTGAATGGTGATTGGTGAAGAAGCTTCCAGGTTTTAGTCAATGTCCACCCATTGACCGAAGAAGTAAGGAAAGGGTCTCAGACATGCGCTTATAGCAAAAAGATATGTAAATGAGTAAAATGCATAGGCAATTCCATGCAAATGAAGAAAACAGTAAACAGAAGCGGAGCTTAAGATAGGAGAAGAAATGGGTGGAACAGAAGGAGGGACAGGGTAGAATAAATGTTAAGGAGTATAAACCAAAGTGTATAAAAGTGAAAAAAACTATTGTTCAGTGCAGCTTCCCTGTTTGTTGTTTTTTTGGGAGCTAGTCAGAAGCTGTCTCCATTCTGAATAAAGCTGTTGCGAGCAATGTGTGCTAGTGTTTGAATCCTGCCTGCTCTGGCTAATGAGTAACAGGATTCATGAGCAATTAGATTGTCGTCTCCCTAGTTGTTGGGCACTGCATGGAGTTGAGGTGTAACACTCATGGCCTTAGATTAATTTAATTTTGAAATCTGCTTGAAAACAAATTACAGAAATCACTGCACTACAGGAAATGCAGTAGCCAATTGGTAGATATTCCTTTGGTAAATCTATTCTATTATGAAAAGAAAGAATAGAGATGGAGTAGTTCTTCTGAGAATCTTTTATTATGACTCTTTTTTCCTTAATATATGTGCTGGAGTGAAGGTAAGTGTGTTTGCAGTACAATATAGATTGTGAAAATATCTAATTGTTAACATTGTACATTTTGTATGACCTAAGTAAAAAAGATTTATTCTTCCTTCCCTAATTTGACCATGCTGGCAGCCGCAGAATGGGGGGGAGGGGGAATCTTAAACGAGAATGATTAGTATGAAAATCTATTTTAATTGCTTTATTAATTTGATGAATTTTCTCTCTCCTGCATATCCAGACTAATTTTGATGAGTTTCATATGGGCAATATAGCAGAATCTTGAGCTACAGGCTCAAGATTTACTAAAACAAAACCAAAAAAATAAACTCTCTGGCCTTCTTCCTCTGAAAGTGTAGATTTAGTATATAAAAAAAATGACTTGGGGCAGAGAACCTTGTTTCTGCTTGTTGCCATTTAGAAACAAATGTTCCCAGTGGGCACATCTACATGAGACGCTACTGTGCAGTCATTACTGAGCATTTATATAGTACTTGCATTAACAACTACTAAATAAATGCGCAGTAACTGGAGTTACTGCCCAGTAGCACTGGTGAACATCTTTTAGGTGATGCTACTGTGCAGGAGCCTAATAATACTATGCAGTAGCATATTAGCACTGTCCATGCTGTGATGAGATACTGTGCAGTATTTTTCAGCTACCATACAGTGTCTTGTATAGATGCATCCAGTTTGAAGGGATGGCTTGTTTAACTATAAGCTCTTTTCACTTATCTAGATTTTGGAAGTTAAGTTTTGTCCTTCTATAGACATCATCAGTACAGATGTTGTGCAGGTCAAATTAGGCCTTAGCCTTCACTGGGGTCACACAGGTGTATTTTATCAAATAATTCTGCTGATAATGAAGACAGAAGATAACCCAGTTGACACTTTCTGCTTTGTTGCTTCTGAAGCTATAGTAGGAGGGAAGAGCAATTCTATCCTATTTTGTTAGTACAATAAAAAAGCAATTTGGATAGCATTCCAAGCACATACACAGAGTTGATCTGAAGGGTAAGATGATGTCATTTCTACATAGTCACTTGCTGGAGTACATCTGTACTGTAAATGAATCTATATTCATATCAATTTGCTTATTTGGCTTTTCCCTTTAATGTTGACAGCTCAAAATATTTTCAAATTAATAAATGAGTTTACATTTCTTCTTATAAGCAATTTGTAGAGTAATCCATGGATTTTGTTCCTTAAAGAAAAGTGAACATGGTTTCCTATTCCATCTTTGTTTTGGATGTTACACATTTGTGACTAAATCACATTTAAATATTTTCATTCAGCAAATGTCTCTGAGGATCTGAAAATGTCAGACCTTGTGCTTTGGAGGAGCAGGGGAGAAGGAGATATGCTTGTAATTATCTTCTGAGCAGCTGCGTGAATCCATCTAAGTTACATTACAGTATTTAAGGTTAACATTTTAATTGGAGCTTGTATTAATACATAGAGAGGTACTTACTGCAGTCAGCTTCATCAGATTGGTCCTCACAGTCTGGTTTGTAGTCACAAACAAGGTGAGACTCAATGCAATTCTTGTTCCAACACACAAAATCAGTGATTGCTGGGCATTCTCTAGGACTCTCTCCAACTAGAACCAACATGATGTTTAAATCAATATTGTAATTAAATTGAAGTATGCCCCTTTTATTTATTTATCCATTATACACCATCACTTTAGTGATTTATTGTTTCCATCAGTTGTTATTCAATCCTGCTCTCTTTCAATGATGTCTTCTACCTGCCTAGACTGCTATATTGGCCATCCTCAAAGCTCTATGAATGGAATGTTTCCACCGGATGGAATTCATTTAAATGTTGGCCCAATTGTTTCCTTGTGCAGACACTTTTGTATGCAATGGGATTTGTAGCAAAACCAGTACAAATGGGGAAAGCAAAGGGAACATTGCTATACGCTGGAAAAAAGGCAGTGGTAAAATGTGGGCAATTGATTATACTACTTTCATACAGTGTATTTCAGAAGCCTTAAGTGAAAGGTATTTTGGAGTATAGTAGAGAAACTATGACAGTGAACATGCAGGCTGCACAGATATTCTTCCTAAACTATTTAAGATGAAGACCTGTTTTCCTAGCTCATTTGTGAAACTGTTAAAACCAGAAAAAGAGAATGAAAGAATAAATTGGAGCTTTTCACTAGAAAGGCTATAGCTAAGGCCAGTCAGTTTTCAGCTTCATCCTTCTGTCAAACCATAAAAAGCCTGGTGTAAATGTTAATCAAGTGTTTCAGGATATTGGCTACAAAACTCCCATTAGAACTAATAAAACTGTGCTGTTAACCCAAAACACAACATTCTAGTGCCTCAGCGTCTACAGGAATAAAGTTTAAAACAGCGGTTCTCAACCTTTTACACCTTACATCCTACCAGCCATTTTGTCAAAAAACCCTAGTCCCACCATAATATCCCCCCCTCCCCAACACACACTTTTTCCAAGAAGTGTATTCCCACAGAATCTCAAGTCCACAGGCCCCCTACTTTTCTCAGGAATGCTACATTTTCAGATAAGTCCCACCTACATAACCTTTGCATCCCACCAGCGGGACGTGTCCCGCTGGTTGAGAGACACTGGTTTAGAAAATGTGGTGTCACTGTATTCTTTGTATTTGAGTTGTAACAGGACCACCTCTAAAGGCACCTGTGGCACCTCCTATGAGCCACACTAGGTACATTCTGTACTCCTGATTATAAGGGTACTGCTCCACCCTCACCCGCCATACATGGAAGTAAAATTAATATAAATTTGGGAGGCTACCTTCAGAAAATCAGAGTTTAGCCTTAGGTGCCTTGCTGTACCCTATTCAAAACTGGGCAGCCAATCTGGCTGAATACTTGTGTAGCAGCATTAAAAAATGGACCCACCTGAAAGAATGGCAAGGGCTGCCCTGCAGAGAGACAGAGTTTGTCCCAGCAGGGACACTGTAGGCTCTGAGGACAAGTGAAGCTGTTTGGAGGCAGCCCTGTTGGAAGTGGGAGGGGTGACGTAACCCCAGCAAAGTTTTGAAATAGATCCATTAGCAAAAGCCTGGGAAGGGCCCTGGTCTGGGATTGGTTGAGAGGCTTGGATAAAAGGGGGGAGCAGTTTTCCCACCGAGAGAGAACAAGAGAGAGAGGGACTGAGGGGCAGGCTGGAGACCAGAGAGAGAGTCTCAACGCAGTGGTCCCTCAGAGAGCCCCTGGCAGTGCCCTGCAGAAGCAGCAGCAGAGGCTGCACTGGGAGTGACACAGTATCCAGTTCCTCTCTTCGGCCCGGGAGCACTGCGGCAGCAGGACCAGAGAGGGGCTGCTTGTGTGGAGACTCTGAGCCTGGGAAGACCCGCCTGCAGCCGTGTGGCTGGGTGGGCAGAGCAGAGCCATGGGGAGACTGCTGGAGACTGCCCTGTTTTCCCTGGTGGGTGAGGGGCCCTGGGGCAGGTAAGGCCCCGGGAGGGGCTGCGTTTGCCGGGGGTTGTGAGGCTGTGCGGAACAGGAGAGCTGCTACAGCCTGCAGCCCAGACACTGCTCCCTGCTGAGTCAGAGAAGGGGGTCAGAGACAGGGGGAGGCTGTCTTGCAGGGACTCTGGAGCATGGAGAGGGACACCAGCACCAGGGAGCACCCACAGACCCTGCACAGGGACACAGACAGTCCCACTCCCTGAGACACCCCGACAGGGGCAGTGCACACAGGATCCCCACGACACCGTGTGCAAGTGAGAGACTGTGTAAATAAGTTCTTGAGGGTTTTAGTTGGTATATCAATGTGTTTATTTATTGGTTACTTGTTATTTTGTAAATAATTAAATCTTGTAAATAGTTTTATAACTGCCTGAGAGGGTGCTTGATTGTAAGGGGAGGCTCTTCGTTCAGGGACCCTGCAGCAGCTTCCCAGGGGGGCTGGGCAGGGCTACTGGCTACCGGGTACCCCAGGATCCCACTATTTAGGTGAGGGCGCGTGTAGTGTCATGCTCAGGGTTATACTTGGTTCAAGTGACCCCTACCAACTAGGGCCTCCCAGGTTCATTCTATTTAATCTAATCTAATTAGACCCAATTTGGTTTACCTAGACTTTAGCTTGTTGCCCCTACCTTAGTCTGAGGGGCTTGCTTGCCCCTTCCTGTAGCCCTTTTGGCTTGCTTGGCTGTCACTATCTCTGCACACTGGGTTCGTTTATGGTCTGCCTGTTCCCAACAGGATATCTGGGACCCCCCAAGCGTATCTTGGGACAAACCCCAGCTCCCCTTGGACTCAGTGGTCCACTGTCATCTCTGTTCCTGACAGAACTCCCTAGGTGCCATGCCTGTTCTGGACAGAGCCCTTCCTGTTCTGGACAGGCTATCCTGGCCTCAGAGGATTACTACTTTTTTTGTTCCACTCAGTCAACATAGCCCCTACCACTGTGGCTTGCACTCACTTAGTGGCCCCCACCCTCCCCTTGAACTCTATGCACTTTAGCCTCTTCCCTTTGCAGTTCACTCCAAGTCAAATTGCTTGCAGCTTTTACAGCTTGGGGCCCCACTGCCCCTTAGCCCTACTCCTGGCCCCACTCTCAGTAACAGGGATTGGGGCCCCTATTACATCAGTACTATTGTTCTGTAAAACAAGTCTGAAGTGGGATAGATCAGCAGTTACAATTATGGGCAGAGTATCTGGAAACATTTAAGGTTTGATAATTTTGAATTAAAAGCATTTGATAATTTTTAAGCCTCTTATAGGTCTGGTTTCTAACACTGATCCACATGGCTCCTATTTTTCAGAGAGCTGATGATCCTGAAGCTCTTACTAATGCTGACATGATAAAACAAACAGAGCTAAATTTTCGTCTCCTCGGGTATTTACACCCATGCAGGAAGGCTCTTCCAATGAGCTGTAATCCAGCACATCAGAGCAGACTCAATTAATAGAGTCTAGTGGGGTGTGGAAATAAATGTGCTCCAGCAGCCTCCAGCACATCAGCATCTCCACACTGAAAAATGGTGGCAGGTTGCTTTGAACTAAAGCTAAACAATGAGCTTTAGTTAAAAGCAATACTGTATGGGACACTGTGATGTGATGCAATACCTTGTGATGTGACACTCAGGTGCTTCTAATTAGTGTGGCTTGCTAATGAAAGCACCTCCTTTGCCTCCTGGAGCACATTTATAAATGCCCCCAGAGCATAGGAACAAGGATATATTAAAAGACATACTAAGGTGGAACTAAGATACTTGGAGTAGTGCGGCAGGGCACTGGATGTGCCTGCCACTTTAAGAGGTTAGGCAGCCTGTTGAGCCACTGGCAGGTGCGTGTCAGAGCTAATGGCAGAGTCAGCTGGCTCAGGGGGCTGGCAGGTGAGGCTAGGCCTGGTCAAAGGAGTCACTTGATTGAAAGGAGTTATCTGATCACAGGAAGGCTGGGCTTAGACAGGGTATAACCCTAGACTCTGAAAGCAGTGCCATCTTGGGAGCTAGTGTAGGGAGCTGGTATAGGAACATCACCCAGCAGGAAGACTGCTACTCCTGAATTCCAGCAAGGGAAACAATATCTGGAGGCTTGGGTAGGAACTAAGAGGATGGAGGAGGTTCTTGAGGATGCAGTGTGGGGTCCAGAGCCCCGAGAAGGGGGCTGAGTGCCTGGGGCCTATTGAGAAGATGGTTCAGGACAAGCCCAGAGAAGGAAGGGGCTGCAGTAAGGAAGACCTATGGCTCTGAACCTGCAAGAGAAGTAAGTAAGGCTCTGAACCTGCAAGAGAGAGAAAGAGAGAGAGAGTGATCTATGAAGGGGCTCAGGTGCGAAGCCCCACAGAGAGGAGAGGGCTGGTAGTTGGAGGACAGACCCTGGGGACCTTGACTAGCCTATACTGGGATTAGGGCCCAGGAAGGTCTGAAGGGTGAAATAGACCACTGTGAGAGACTGCCAGAACTGGGAGTCTGGAGTCTTCACTGGCCTGGAGGTGGGGTCAGGGCCTAAGAGAGGTACAAAAGTCCATGTGGGGCCACAGACAAGAGGGAGAGGACAGGGAGCATGCAGCCCAGTATGATGATGGCTGGTAGGAGTCCAAGAGTGAGCTGGGGGCCAGAGACAGAGGACTTGGATGTGAGATGGAGCCAGGGCCAAGGGGGCCAGTGGTTAGTAGCCCAGGAGGGGTATAGGGCATCTTGGGGAGATCCCAAAGATGTATGGATAAGACCAGGATGATTTGAAGAAGAGTAAGATCTCAAATAGCACCCTACTGGAGGTGGCTGGTGTGGTGGGGTTGCCTGTGGCAGGGCAGTCTCCATGAAATGCCATGCATGAGCCACTCCAGGGAAATGTGAGGATGAGGCACTGGAAAGCCTCCGCTCCCATGCTTTGTAAATAACCCTGTTGAGGGAGAAGGCTTGGGAAGCAAACCCTGACAGAAAAGCAGTTGATGTGGGTCTGGAGGTGCAGTGAGGGGCCAGGGAAGATCAGGACCATGTGGGTCCAGAGGCCCAGTGAGGGGCTGGGAAATAGAGTGTAGGACCAGAGGGGTCCAAGGCCATGAGTTCTGAGGCCCAGCAAGGGGCCTGAGGCCTATAGTGAGGCCCAGTGAGTATGGTGGGACCATAGGGTACAGCAGCCCAGTGAGGAGCCACAG